AGTTCTGAGGAAGGGTCACCGGACCCGAAAGGTTAACTCTGTTTTTTCCTTCACAGATGCTGCCAGACCTGCTGTGCTTTTCCAGCAATTTTGTTTTTGTTTCTAATTTGCAGCATCTGCAGTTCTTTCGGTTTTTAATTATCGAGCGGTTAGTTGGTATAACATAGATATTAGGGAAAATGCTAAAGTCCGTTATAAAAGATTTAATAGCAGAATGCTTGGAAAACAGTGACAGGAGTGGATAGAGTCAGTGTAGATGCACAAAGGGAAAATCACGCTTGACAAATCTATTGGAATGTTCTGAGGATGTAACCAGTAGAGTTGATAAGAGGGAGACAGTGGATGTGATTTACTTAGCCTTTCAGAAGGCATTTAGTAAGATCCCACATAAAAAATTAGCATTTAAAATTGAAGTGCATGGGACTGAGGGTAGTGTGCTAAGACGCATAAGGAACTGGTTGGCAGACAGGAAACACAGATTAGGAATAAACAGATCTTTTTCTGAGTTGCACACAGTGACCAGTGGGATACTGCAGAGATCAATGTTGAACCCCAGTTATTCACAATATATTTTAATGATTTAGATGAGGGAACTAAATGTAATATATCCATATTTGCAGATGACACAGCTGAGTGCGAGGGTGAACTGTGAAAAAGATGCAGAAATACTTCAGTATGATTTGGACAAGTTGAGGCAGTGGCAAGTTTAATGAGGATAAATGTGAAGTTATCTGAATGAAAATTGATTGGGAAAGCGGGTAGTACAATGAGATCTGGGTGTCCTTCTATGCCTGTCACTGAAAGTAAGCATGCAGGTGCAACAGGGCAGTGAAAAAGGCAAATGGTATTTTGGCCTACATAGCAATAGGACTCAAGCATAGCAGCAGGGATGTCTTGCTGCAATTGTACAAGGCATTGTTGAGACCACAACTGGAGTATTATGGGCAGTTTTGGTCTCCTTATCTAAGGAAGGATATTCTGGCTATGGAGGAAGTGCAACAAAGGTTTAACAGACTAATTCCTGGTTTGGTAGGACTGACATATGCAGAGAGACTAGAGGACTGTGCTCCCTGGAGTTTAGAAGAATAAGTGGGGATTCTCATAGAAACCTATAAAGGACTGACAGGACTAGACTAAATGCAGGCAGCATGTTCCTTATGACCAGGCAGTCCAGAACCAGGGGGTCATCATCTAAGCGTATTGGATCAGCCATTCAGGCCTGAGACAAGGACCATGCTGAGCCTGTGGAATTCTCTGGCACAGCAACTGGGTGAGGCCAAAACATTGAATGTTTTCAAGGAGTTAGATACAGTTCTTGGGGCTAAAAAGATCAAAAGGTATTGGGAGAAAGTGGGAACATGGTCCTCAGCTGGATGTTCAGCCATGATCATATTGAATGACAGACCAGGCTTGAAAGGCTGAATGGCCTACTTCTGCTCCTGTTTTGTATGTTCCTATGGTTCAGAGACCTCATTTATGATTCAAGCTCAGAAGAATATTCCTTACAGCATTTGTTGAGGTTTCTGTTATAGTAGGGAATATAAATTTCACATTCTTGCTTACCATTTAAATGCACTGTTTCTGAATTTTGGCATACAGAACCATCATTAGCATTGTCCTAGCTGCAGATGGTACTCCACGGGGAAGACATTAGTTTATCTAGTGCTACTTCCAGTCATTGATATTATTGAAGAATGTCATGCAAAACTACATAAGCAAATTTCTTTCTCCTCTGTCCTTTTTGGAACACTTTACAGTTAAAGTTTCCTGTACTTTTCCTCAATAATGCATCTTGATTCAAATTAAGAATTACTTCACCAGTGGTTTTGACAGGTTTCTGTCAGTTCCACAATCTCCCTGTGATCTTTTTGAGTGGCATTGATCATTTTAGTGTCAATGCTATTGACACGTGTCCACAGGAAGCAAACATCCATATATTCAGTAAATGAAGGAAAACTTTATCACAATAAGTGAAAACCAATTAGAGTTCTTGTTTTGGAGCTGAAAGGATGATGTTTCAACCCATATTGTGACTCCAAACCTCTCTTCAACAATATTCAGTTGAGTCCATTGTTATATCGTGGAATATTTTGGAATGCTCATTTTAGTCACAGAGTCCCCATTTTTTAGTTTTGTGAAAAAGATAGTACTCTGTATTGAGAAGCAGTCTGCATTATATCTTACAGTGTAGCTCAGCATTTAACACACATCGGTTAAAGCTACTCTGCAGTGGGATAATGTGTCCATTTATTCATAGGAAGAGGCAGAATGGGGAGACATACATGGATAGAACAGCTGATTAGCCCTCCTCGGTTGTGAACTTTCAACAGCTTCTCAAACAGCTTGTGCCTTTGGACACTGTCTTTTGTGTTTTTGACCTCATGCAGATCTATGTTTTCTGCAACCGAGCCAGTGAAATCAACGATTGCATCACCCGTGTTGCCTCCATCCAGGGCTTCATAACATCCTGCCAGCCTGTAAGTAAAACAAAACACAATGCGTTTCACATCAACCTACTACATGCTGCTTTTGTAGAGACCAGGGATCAAGACTTAAATAATTAAACTCGGCATCAACTATACCATACAAAAACCGAGAGAACTACAGATGCTGTAAATCAGAAACTAAAACAGAAATTGCTGGGAAAGCTCTGGCAGAATCTGTGGAGACAAATCAGATTTCATGTTTAGGTCGAGTGACCCTTTCTCAGAACTGATGGTAGTTAGGAAAATGTTGGTTTACATGCAGAAGATAGGGTGGGGGAGGGGGATAAGGAGGAAACGATAGGTGGGAATAGAGCCCAGTGGACAGACAAAGGAGTGGATAACGATCTGGTTAGGATGGTGAATAGCTTTTATTGGGGAACTGTTCATGGCTAACAATGGGCTGTATGTAATAGCAGACTATGTGATAACAAGGCCTGTTATGTGGGGTTTGGGGTAAGGATATGGGAGAGCTCAAGCCCTAAAGTGTTGAACTCGATATTGAGTCCAGAAGACTGCAGGGTCCCCAAGTGAAAAATGAGGTGCTGTTCCTCCAGCTTGCACTGAGCTTCACCTGAGCACTGCAGCAAGCCTGAGGCAGAGATGTTAGCCAGTGAACATGGTGGTGTGTTGAAGTGATATATATCAAATATACCTTCCTACCTGTTATCAATTCCAGCCTCCTCCCTGACCTTAAATGAATATTTTTGGTGCTGTTTCCATCCCAGTTAGTGAGATGGTCAAACTGTAGTGCTGGATGATGCCAATGATAATGCCTGTATCTCTTTCTGACCACCCCCTCACTCCAACTCTTAGCACTATCAGATACTTTCAGCAATATACTATTACTTCCTCCATTGCAACAGTGACTATACTTCAGAAGCATCTAATTAGCAGTAAAGCAGTTTGGGACATTCTTGGACAATAAAAGACATAATAGAAATTAAAATTCTTTCTTATGGGATCATGAAATTCCATTACCAACTTTTATATCATTTGAAAATATGAGTTTGCTTTAAACTGTATTGCTTTTGACTCTAGCATATCACATTTCAACTTGCATCAGACAAAATTGATATGGGTGGCTTTTAAACTAGATGCCTTCAAACCACCATTTTTGAACAAATATGATCATTCAATATCATTTCTTGAAGATTTTGCACTTCACAAAACGACTCTCAAAGCTTTCTGCGCACAGTGGTGAGTTGCCAACCAGTTTACTCCTCTACTGAACCAATTTCCTGCATCTTACCAGAGAATGCCAATTGACAAACTCATTGTGCTGTCTACATCACTTTGCTTTTATGTCGAATGGAGAGGAAATTTAGAGCTGCAGTATAACTAGTATTATCTATGCTCAAACTAACCTCAGGTTTTTCATAGTATTTTGTGTAAGACATTAAGCTATTTAAAATATTTTTTGATATTTTTGTTACACTTGTCATCTTTTTTGCTGTCTCATAAATGTAGCATTGATCAAAATCTGGAAACTTCAGATCATCCAATGATTTTCATTATCCAATGAAAGAGATGTGTATGTTTATGGGTCGTAATGAAGATTTCACTGTAAACTTGTAAAATCATTCAGTATCGGTGATATAAATAAGATAGTGCATTGTAAAACATTACTTGTGATTGGTATACACGAGCTCAAATGATTTGTCTGTCCGTTCTCCCAACTTTGTTTCCGAGGTCATGAAAGTCCAATGGAATGTTCTGCATTACGGGTAAAGTACTAGTATTGTTTGCCAGCACCTTCTGTGGAATAGATGATCAGGAAACCCTCCCACTCTTACTGCCTGTTTTCAGGTATACTGAAATGATCTCCATGCTGCTGATCAAACGGTTTGGCCCCATTACAGCAGACTTTCAAGGTCAAACAATCTGGTGGTGGTAAGAGATGGTCTTGAATACAGAGCTTCTGTTCCAGAGGTAGATATGCTGACACTGTGCCACAAAACCTCCTCCTCCAACTGGCTTTCCTTTCAATAAGAAACAGCCTCTGATACAAATTGAACAGCTTGAAGTCAATCCTGTTAACAATTATTGCAGAACACTCCAAGTATCATGACAATCAGATTAAATTAAGGTTAATCAGTCTCAGAGATGGAGCGAGTGATCAACTTCTTTGATTGGGAAATTTGACACAGATTTTCACTCCTGGGTCAGGAGTGCAGAGAAGTGGCATGTTCCAGCACCACAAATCTCTCCTGAACAAAGTGCCCTGGAAAGTTGAAAGTTCATTCTGGGGCTGGTGGGATTTTTTTTTTATTTTTGGAAGGCTGGCTAGATGAAACCAGAACAAGAGTGAAGCTGCAGGCTGTGGACACAGATTGAGCCTTAGGCCTGACTCCGTGCATTGGTGCTGTACTGCTGTTTAATGAAAATGGAATGATGTTAATAATGTTCTTCCATTCTCAGCCCTCACACCCGCTGCCTCCTATTCACTTCCCACGCACTATCATTGCTAACCGTATGCTAGCTCATACTCATTATCTCACCATCATTTCTCTATGCCCTCTATCCACCCGCCAATGCCCTCTCATACTCCCTTTGCTCACTCCCATCAAATGGTCCTTATACTCTCTCTATGCCAACCTATGACACTATAGCCTATGCTAAACTGTGCCTGTACCCATTCCTCTGGCTCTTTTTAACCTTTTGCTAACTTCGTTCTTTGACACTTCCAATGATTTCATGCTTTTTCAGGTACATTTTTATCTACTTTTAACAATCCCAAAGTGACCCGACTCTACTCCCCCCATAAGGGAATTTGCACCTCTCTAAGGTCACCCGATCCATTCTTCATGTGTCCAGGGGCAATTTCCAAAAGGCGACATCGTCTCTCTCATTTGAATGGCCAACTATCAAATTGCCAAACCATGCCTATATGAAGCCCAAGCCACTCCAAACCTGTCTTCATGATCTGGGCCCTTGTTATAAAGTTATAAATATGACCAATTTATCGTCAATAGGCAAGATTTAAGATACCTGGCAAAAGCCCAGGGTTCCGTATAAATAAGTGACCCAAAGTACATAGTTGGTACTTGGAGCAAGTACGCTGCAAATTGTTCCAGATTTCAGTATAAAGATTTCTATACATTTCTGTATGTCACACATTTCTATAATCTTACTTTGCATATGCCTTCTCCAGGAGTGCACTCCAGAACTCCTCTTTAGAACTAGAGTGACAAAATAGGAGCTTCTTATTCATTGTTGGAAGACGATCGTCGACCACAACGTCGATCCACTCACCAAAGCGCCAAAATCGGAAGTGGAAAATACCAGCGTAATCATTTGGCTTTTTTGGGTTCCAGTCCTGCTTTTTCCAGTCTGGAATTACCTGCAAACAACAACAGGTAATGAGGCAATAAAGGCCTCAGGAAGAGGATTAGGCTGTGCAACAGCACTTCAATAAGCTAATTCATCTATAAGACTGAGTATTTGAGGGAAGAATGATAGAGTAGGCTAGATTCTCCTTTGCAATCAAGTCCCTTTACGGTACTTGTGGTGCAGAGGTAGTGTCCCTGTCTTTGAGCCAGGAAGCCTGCGTTCAAGTCATATCTGCTCCAAGGTGTATAGTAACACATCCAAGCAGGTTGATTGGAAAATGTTTGAAACAGGACAGTGGGAAATGTGAGTTTGACCCACTGCCATCTTGTCAACCCAACATCAATCTCTTTCCACATGTAAGTGCAAGTGGGAGTGTGGGAGGATGTAGATCCCTACAAGAGCTTCCTGGCATCTTTCTCTGCTCTAATCACTTCCTCAGGCTTCAATGACAAAGGTAGCTATGATGGTGGTCTCTTCAGCGCTGAGGGTTTAACAACCAAGGACTGATCAGCTCTTTGTTGGCAACAGGATTCCTGGCAAGCAGGCACCAGCTTTGTATAAAAGTGACTCTAAGCACAGGAAACGAATAAGCACTGAGGTAGAGTTTGAGAGAAGGACAGCATTTAATAACTCATTTGAATACATTTGGAATATGACCAGAATTGCAACAATACGCAGTCAGTACTGAAAATGAGAGATCAGAGGAGAGGGTGTACTAAGTAAAATGAAAGAGGTTGACAGACATGGGGAATTAATAGTTCAAAACAAGTGATTGTGTCATCTGATAGAAAGCTCATCGTCGTATGCGAACACTACCAAAAACATGATAAACTGTTAACTGAATGCAGCTTTTGATGCAAAATCTGTTAAAATTAGAACATTGGAAATTTATCTTTTTTAATAAAAACATTAGAAACGGCTTTTACATGAAGGATTGTGGTTAATTGTAAGAATTCTGCTTAATTACACTGCCAAAGTATTTAATTATGTTGAAATTTGCACTGACAGTTTTACTACTGGGTAATAGATTTAATGGTCTCCCTACTGAAAAATGTATAGAATTGTGATGCCTCTAATTAGTTAGAACAAATAGATATTTGGTCATACAGAACATGAGAATTGCTGAAAAAAGACACATAGGAAATTAGGAACAGAAGTAAGCCATTCAGTCCCTAAACCTGTTCCAATATTCAATGAGATCATGGCTAATCTGTGGTCAAACTCCATGTCTTTGTCTTTGGCCCATATCCCAATTCAAGAGGAAAATTAACAATTATACTGCGTGAGAGGAGACTCCTGGCCTTTGGTGAGTTGTTTCTGATTGACAGAGGTGCTGGCATATAGAATGTATTTATTAATACTGATTCGCCATTAATAGCCAGGTTTTGTTTGAACTTTTAACACAGGCAGGTTGACTTTGACTGGGGCATTGTACTGAGAAATGAACCAGAAAATGGCTGTTACCTGTTTTGTTGAAAATTTTGTTTAAAATAAGTGCCGTGCATATACATGTTCTTTCTGTCTGAAAATAACTGGTCCCCATGTATTCATATATGTAGCTTCCAGTGCACAACTGTGACTCACAAGAAGCCTGACTGACGATTCTAAGTTGGTTGTCAGTGTGATTCTTTGTGCCATAAGACCATAAGATCTAGGAGCAGAAATTAAGCCATTTGGCCCATCGAGTCTGCTCCACCATTCAGTCATGGCTGATAAATTCCTCAACCCCATTCTCCAGCTTTCACCCTGTAACCCTTGATCCCCTTGATAATCAAGAACCTATCTATCTCAGTCTTAAATGTACTCAATGGCCTGGCCTCCACTGTGGCAGTGAATTCCATAGATTCACCACTCTCTGGCTGAAGAAGTTTCTCCTTATCTCCATTCTAAAAGGTCTTCTCTTTACTCTAAGGCTGTGCCCTTGGGTCCTAGTCACTCCTACCAATGGAAGCATTTTCCCAAAATCCATACTGTTCAGTCCATTCAATATTCTGTAAGTTTCAATTAGATCCCCCCCCCTCGTCCTTCCAAACTCCAATGAGTATAGTCCCAGAGTCCTCAAACGTTCCTCATATGTTAAGTTTTCCATTCCTGGGACCATTCTTGTGAACCTCCTCTGAACCCGCTCCAGGGCCAGTACATCCTTCCTGAAATATGGGGCCCAAAACTGCACACAATATTCATAATATTCCTGCATATTCAGGATTGATTGACAAATGTTGTCCAATTGCAGGATCACATCTAATGTTGGTCAGAATTGGTTCAGTGCATTTAGCAGAACTATCAGAATCAGCTACAATGAAGTAAGAAAAACAAGCATGTTGTAAAGGCACACCTGCTGGTGTCAACAGTTTAAAACAGGTCAAGACACCAGAACTGATGAAATTGACGCACCCTCACCTTTTGCCACAGGCCGTCCCTCAGAGCTAAACAGGAACAAGCAGCCACAAACCAGCAGTTGCCCAGCTGTCCTTGATTCAGATCGTGTGAACTGATTCCATTGACAAATAGGCGAGGAGATTCACACAGCTCCTAGGGAAAATGTTTTAAAACAGGAAATTAATCTTTAAAATGCACAAATTTCATTAGATTTTACAGCTGTGTTCATGGTTCCTTGTTAAAATAATTGAATTAATTATGAGTGATTCATAATGAGGTCCCTCAACTTCCCATAGAAAAGGCTAGAAATGTGAATCTGGGTGGGGAGTAGGGATGGGAAAAATGAATTGTTATAAGGATTCTATGTCAAGGATTTTGAGTTTGGGAGAGGATCATTTACTTTTAGAAAAAGGGCTCAACTATGGCCTAAGGAAAAAATATGACATTAAACTATTTCACAGCTTATGTAAACTACTGTTGAAGTTGAGCTGGATTTCACATGCATTTGCTGATTATGTTTTGATGAGATAGCAGCCCAGGCTGCCACATCGCCACATATCCTTTAGCTGATGCCAACAATACAGGGGTTGTACGGGCAGCCTGCCCATCACATTTAAATTAATAAGTAAGGGTCAATAAAGCTTGTTAGAACTTTAATTAACCCCAACATTACTCAGACCACATCGTAATATAGTATAATTCTAAACCCAGATGTTAAAATTAGATGATGAAATTTTAAAACCTATAATCTATACTTTATCACTATTGTGACATCTCCCCACTATAAGAAAGGAAAGCAAACAAGCTTGTTCCTTTTTTTGCTGTGAGGGTTCCATTAAAAGATTCGAATTAAACAGACACTTCCACATTCACTCTCTTCATCCAAATCTGGCTTCAATTGGTTTTAATTACATGCAGATGCATAGAAGTACACTATATGAAGGCTGGCTTATAATGGTAGACAGTAGGAGTGTAGTGTTAGAGGTGGGTGTCTTGATAAATGCTGCTGAGATAAGCTAGCTCAATATAGAGTTGATATTAAGCCTGTACCTTTTAGTTTGTGTGGGGCAAGTTTGACTAACACCTAAAATGGGTACTTTTGAAAGGTTGAGAAATTGAGACTGGCAACAGTCTGTGGTCACCTTGTGAAAACAGAAGGAGCACTCTTGCTTCTTCTAGTTGTATGAAAGTATAACTTTGAATGAGCCTGCTTGTGAAGCCTTCGGTGGTCTCTCTTAGGAATTTCTATTTAGGCCCCTCAAGAACTTACACATTTAGGCTGAACAGTTCAAACCGTTTGTATCTGAATTTGGCACTCTGTTTTACAGACCTTCATACTCTCTTCTCCCTTGAAGCATGGCATGACGTGTTGAAGGTATTACAGAATTAATAACAAGAAGTTGGACTGGTTTGTGAGAATTCCTTCTGTGACAAACAAATTCTGATGTACGATATGAACACAAGGCCTTTCAACTCAGGTGACGAGTAGTACCAACTGAGAATTCTGGCCCCATAAAATTTGGTACTCGACTCTTACATTAACATAGGGCACATAAAGTAAGTTATCCTGGTATGCCAGATAAACAGCACACCCATTGACAAGCGTTAGAGAAACCAGGGGCATGACTGGGTAGCCATTTATAACTAATGCAAACTGGACTGGCATGAGTTGCGTTATACACTGTGTACAGTTTTGATCCCAATTTTTAGGAAAGGATACATTGGCATTGGATTTAGTTCAATATTAATTCTTGTGATGAATGGGTTAACTTCTCAGGAATGGCTAAATAATTTAAGTCTTTATTAATTAGAATCGTGTTGAAACATGCACGATTTTCAGGGTGACTGCCAGAAGTTATGGACATGTTTCCACTAGTGGGAGAATCTCAGACGAGGGGGACATAGTTACAAAATAAGGAGACACTCATTTAAAACTGAAGGTAGTGAATGTCTGGAATTCACTACCCCAGAGAACTGTGGAGGTTAGATCACTGAAATTATTTATGTTGGAGATGGATAGGTTTTTTGAAATTAGAAGCAAGTTGACAGCTATGCTGAGCTGGCAAAAAAGAGGAGTGATAGTCTGAGGGCAGTTCAGCCATGATCTTGTTGAATGACAAGATAGGCTTGAAAGCCTGTTTGGAATACTATACACTTAATGGTAAGGTCCTAGGGAGTGTTGCTGAACAAACAGACCTTGGACAACAGGTTCATAGTTCCTTGAGAGTGGAGTCCCAAGTAGACAGGATAGTGAAGAAGGCATTTGGTATTCTTGCCTTTATTGGTCAGTGCATTGAGTTAAGGAGTTGGGAGGTTATGTTGCTGCTGTACAGGACATTGGTTAGGCCACTATTGGAATACTGTGTGTAATTCTGATCTCCCTGTTATAGGAAGGATGTTGTAAAACTTGAAAGGGTTCAGAAAAGATTTACAAGGATGTTGCCAGGGTTGGAGGGTTTTAGCTATGGGGAGAACCTGAATAGTTAGGGCTATTTCCCCTGGAGCGTTGGAGGCTGAGGGGTGACTTTGTCGAAGCTTTATAAAATCATGAGGGGCATGGATAGAGTAAATAGACAAGGTCTTTTCCCCAGAATGGGGACTGCAAACCTAGACAGCATAGGTTTAAGGTGAGAAGGGAAAGATTTAAAAGGCCCTAAGGGGCAACATTTTCATGCAGAGGGTGGTGCATGTATGGAATGAGCTGCCAGAGGAAGTGGTGGAGACTGATACAATTACACCATTCAAGAGGCATCTGGATGGGTATAGAATAGGAAAGGTTTAGAGGGATATAGGCCAAATGGGACTAGATTAATTTAGAATATCTGGTCGGCATGGATGAGTTGTACTGAAGGATCTGCTTCTGTGCTGTCTGACTCTATGACTGTATGACGCTATGAGTACTCCTCCTTTGTAATGTTTTTTGATTGATAGGCTGTGTTTGGTTTCCTTGGAGCAGTGAAAGCTGAAAGAGGACCTGATTATATATATATAAAGAGGGGTCAACACCCAGGAAACATAGATTTCAGGAGAGAGGTAAAACGCTAAGAAGAGAAATTGTTTCAGTCAGTGTTGTTGGAGTCTGGAATTCACTACCTGAAATGGTGATTGACTCAGAAACTCTCATAACATTTAAGCGGTACTTAGACATTGCCATAGCCTCCAGGGCTATCGGCCTAAAGCTGGAAAATGGACTTAAGTAGTCAGATCTTTGTTGACCAGCATGCAAACGATGGGCCAAATGCTCTCCTTCTATGCTGTAAACATCTGAGATATCCCCCTGTGGTTCAATGTAATATCGGAGAGTGCACAACAGTGCTTAGCATGCCATTGTGCACTTTAATGTGTGAATTATTTTTGTGCTTAGAAGTAAGATAATTGATATAGTTATCTTTACTATGCAGCTGGCACATCAGAACTCATTCTAAATGTATTACCTCTAGTGCAAATGATCTGTAAAGCAAGTGTTGTAATGTAAGAATGAATAATGGTTCTCTCCGCTGCCAATCAATTAGATTTGCTATCTTGCAAATTATAGCGCACACAGTAATTACAGCACATGGGGCCACATTTTGACATTAGGTAAATTTCTCACTTCAAACACTTGGGAAAAAATACACAAAAAGTAAGTAATACTAGTTTCCATTTTTGCTGCTAAGCATCTTTAGCAGCTTCCTTCATGTTGCAGATTAAAGAAAGTAATTTTAATTTTATTGATGACACAAAGCTGTGTGAGGATGTTAAAATATGTAGCACAAATTGATAGGATTTAAAAGGATTTGAGATGGTCAGCACTTGACTGATCACCAAAAAAATTGCATGTTAAATTGGATAAATTTACAAAGGAGGCACATCAATCAGTAGAGAATATCAACTCATTAGAAAACATAGCAACTGAAACCTAAAGAAGGTGGAACAGTAAAAGTTTGAAGGATGTTTGTGGACCAGTCTTGAAAATTCCTCTGTAACATAACAGGGTAATAAGTGGCTGATAGGCCAGATTTCAGGAAGCACTGGCAGAAAGATACACCCCTGGAATAGTAATTATATATAGACCATGTAGACCTGCCTAAGTGACTTTCCAGGCAAATGTATTGACCAAATTAGAATTAGACTAGAATTAACCAGGTAGATCCCAGCTTTTACCGCAACAAAAACTGAATGTGTTGGAGAAACTTAGCAGGTTTGGCAGCATCTGTGCCCCAGATTTTACTGTTGCTTATTTTTCAGTTAATTGTTATCATAGAATATGAGTGTCACTGGCAAAACTAATATTAATCCCTGGAGGATTCAGGACAACAGTGGGGCTGGGAGATAGCAAGAACTGCAGATGCTGGAGTCAGAGTCAATGCAGTGTGGAGGAAGACAGCAGGTCAGGCAGCATCAGAGGAGCAGGAAAGTCGACATTTCGGGTTTATACCCTTCATCAGGACAGCGGAGCTGTGTCAAACCTCTGAAAGAACCCTGTCCCCACACTTCAGAACGTGTCTATCTTATTCTTTCCCATTTGCCCTTGAGAATGTGGTGGTGAGCAGCTGCTTTGATCTTCTGCAGTCCCTGGGTTTAGGTTTGTAACTATTGTTATTGAGATGGAGTTAAAGGAATTTGACCCAGTAGGAACAGCAACATAATTCCAAGACTTGATGCCGTGTGGTTTCGAGGGGAACTGTCAGATTGAGGTATTCCCATGCTCAAGGTTTTTGAGAAGATTTGTAGCTCGGGTTGTTATTACGTTTGTTGACTTGCTCGCTGATCTGGTAAGTTTGTTTGCAGATGTTTTGTCACCATGCCAGGGAACATCATGAGTGTGCCTCTGGCGAAGCGTCAGTTTTCTGTCCCGCTTGCTATTTGTGTGTCCCAGTTTGCTGGGGTGGGTGGCACCACTTCTGGATTTGTTTCTTAGTGGTTGGTATATGGGGTCCAGTTCTACCTGTTTGTTAGTGGAATTCCTGTTTGAGTGCCAGGCCTTCAGGAATTCTCGTGTGTGTCTTTGGTAGCCCTGTCCTAGGATGGATATGTTGTCCCAGTCGAATTGGTGTCCCTCTGTGTCCATGTGTATTGAAATAAGTGAGAGGTGGTCATGTCTCTTGGTAGCTAGTTGGTGTTCATGGATCTTATTACTTATTTCAATATACATGGACAAAGAGGGACACCAA